CGCCATGATCGTCGCCGCAAGGAACGGAGAGTATGCGCTCTTTCGACTTGCGACTTGCGCCGAGCGACGGCCTCGGCGCCAAGCGAGGCGAGCAATGGGAACGCGTTTTGAGCTTGTCAAGTCCCATCAGGTCCTACGGTTGGTATTCGGGATGCGAATTACTGGGAGTGAATTATTCGCGGCAGCACCGCAAGAAGCGGAGTCAAATGAAGGAGGAAGAAAAGGGGATGACTGGCAGTGGTGGAATGGTTGTGCCCTGAAACTGAAAATCGATTGCCTGGTGCTTTCGATCGCGTCGCGTTCTGCCCCAATCAACCAATCAGGCTGCATTTGTTCACTGGCGGGAGAATGGCCACGGAGGAGTCTGTCAGGCTGAACGCGTTCTGGGCGACAATGGAGAAACATGCGGATACTCACCAACAACGGCTTCGTTAAAGAAAAAATGATTCTATAGAGCCAGCGTTACAAAGCAGCATATTCTTCTGATTTTGTGGCAGCTAGCAGCCAACAATCAAATGGACTGAACGAAGAACTTATTTTTCGCCTGCCTCGCCACCTTCGTCATGGGCCACTTTACCCCAAGACTTGGAAGGTGTTTGTCGGATCCCCGCTCGGGCACGGGGCCCTCCTATCGTGGTCTTGTGTGTCCAAGTGCTATTGAGTACGGTAATAGTCTAACTAGCAACTACTGGTCAGGACGGAGGTTGGGTGGAACGTTTGGGTGTGGTTTGGGTCTCGATGTTCCGCATTCCACGGGTTTCGCAAAATGGTTACCAGAGATAAGAGTTTTGGAAATCCAGTTTGATCACCAGATTTCGCGATTCGAAAAACGCGTTCCACTATGGAATGGAATCCTCGTCGCCCCCTTCCGGAAATATCGGAGCAGTAAGGGTGTCTCGGATCTGAACGGCTAGTGTTTGGCTGCATTATTGTCGACAAAAAAGAGTCGTCATTGTTCGCGAGCCTTCTAATGCCCCGAAATGGTTCGTTGTCTCTGTTTTTGAAGCCCATGAGAGGTCAAACGATGTTCGCAAATGGATACTTTGGCTACATTCGGCCTTCGAAACTTTGGCCGTACAAATCGAGCTCGCCCAGAGCTTATTGCGGAAGTCACACACGACTAACGAAATCTCTCCACGCTGGCACCTTATCCTGCGGAAACAACTTGTTCCGAGACCACATAGTTTTCTAACTCGATTCATCTACGTCATTAGTCTCAGCCACTCGAATAGGAAAAAACGCACAAATTTCCGCGCATCGAAAAAACTCGCATTATTTTCAGTCCTCCAAGCACCAATCACGCGTCATTTCGCCCCCTCCTCCTGCGTGGATTAACGAAACGGCAAACCTCCACATTGCAAAAGAAACTAGTAGCAGTCACGACCAGGCCCAACGCTCTTCTCGAATTAGAGAACGACCCCTTCAGACCATATTCTTGATCAAGGCGGAGAGCCGTTGATGCCGACGCGCTCCGCCGTTGATTCCAGTACTACTCTTCTTTCACGGCATCATCGTGTCGGGAGCGCAGCGCCAGATGTCAATGCCGGCACCAACAGCTACTACTATGTACGAGACGCCTCTAAAGCCGCAACGGCAAATTTTTATGCCTGCGATCGCGACGACGGTGGCGAGGCGGCGACGCGGGCCGGCGAGCGCTTCGTCGTCCCCTTCGGCGACCGCCGGTACTGCTGGGATGTTTCTGCCATGGTGACGCGTGGTGTGGTACATGCTGAATCTGGGTGGTAAGCCCTGTGTCGGCCGTGGTTGTGAGCGTGAGCGCTTAAAAGCCATACTGAAAATATATCTTAGTAGGCGATAGAGGACGAATTTGTTGAGCCTTAGAACCTTCACATCCTCACAGCCCTCACTCCGCCCGCAAATGTTCCATTCCGCCCGCATGTCCCCCAATCCGCCCGCATGTCCCCCATTCCGCCCGCATGTCCCCAATTCCGCGCGTCCCCCATTTTGCCCACATGTCCCGCATTCCACCCTTATGCCCCCCTTTCGGTTCCTCACCCACGTGCCCCGCGATCTCATCCGCCTGCCTGTCTGGCTCCCCCGTGCGCCCCCACCCACCATCCCATGATCCCTCTGCCTGCCTGTCTTCTCCCATGCGCGCGGCAGCATGGTGGTGCGGGCAGGGCGCGCTGACGGCGGCGCTGCTGGCGGCGGTGGCTGTGGCGGGCTGCGTGGCCTTTCTGCACCTCGCCTCGCACCGCCGCATGGACGCATTGCTGCAGGTATGACCCCTCCCTTCCTGCCTGCTCAAAGTAGCTTACTTGAAGGCCCATCCCTCATGCACGCTCCGCTCACGTCGTCTTCCCCCAACTCGCCTCGCACCGCCGCATGGACGCATTGCTGCAGGTATGGCGCCTTGCATTGCGACCTCGCACACGTGCACCTCGCTTTCACCTCCCTGCTGCAGAGCACACGTGCACGCTTCAAGTCCCCTCCCGCGCCCAGCAAAGAACACACGCATGCATAAACCCCTACCGCAGACCACACATTCATGCATAAAACCCCACATCAGCACACATGCATGCATAAACCCCAAAAGACGACACATGCATGCATAAACCCCAACATACCATACATGCATGCATAAACCCCAACAGCAGAGCACACAAGCATGCATAAACCCCAACAGCAGAGCACACAAGCATGCATAAACCCCGACAGACCACACGTGCATGAAGAAACCCCAACACACCACACATACATGCATAAACCCTAGAAGAGCACACATGCGTGCATAAATCCCAACTGACCACACATGCATGCATAAACCCCGACAACAAACTACATATATATGCGTAAACCCCAACCGGTTTCTTCCTTGTCTCCTTTCTTTGTTCAGGCGGTGTTACAGTGACAGGCACCATGTGCTCCCATCCCCTTATCCCTCCCCACCTGTCCCCATCCCTCCCCACCTGTCCCCATCCCTCCCCACCTGTGCATCAGCAACTGCAAGCCCTGCAGCCCTTTGGGCTGGCGGGTGCCTCCCTGGCAGGTGCTGCACTGATAGGCGGTATTCAGGCCGGTGCTGCTGCCCTGACAAGTGCTGCCCTGGCAGGCGACATGCAGACGGGATTCCTGCAGGCATCTGCCATCCAAGGAGCGGCGCTGCAGAGCTTCCAGAGTGGCAGCAGAGGGGGGGGAGACAGCAGCAGTAGCACCAACAGCGACAACATCAGCTCCACACACACACGGCAGATGATTGTGAGAGTCTTCATTTCCTTTCATGCACATAAAAGGATATTGTTCTTCCGTTTGACGATTCGACCCATGTGAAACGTGCCGTTCAAAGGATCTGGTACTTGCCATGCCACGTCATGTTGTATTCCATTGGTGGGCCATCCAGCCCCTTCCTCTTCCCTCTACCACTCCCAACTTCCCTGTGCGTCCTCCTTCCTGCTCTGATCGCTCCCCTCCCTACTCCAACCGCCCCCTTTGAGCGCCTCTTCCCCGCTGGCAGGGCAAAAGGGGCGGCCAGGCGGAGGGCGTGGGGGAGCAGGGGTGGCCGGTGATGGGGGGAGTGAGGTGGAGGGGGTGTGCGGGGGACGGGGACGCATGCCACACTGCCTCGGGTGGGTTTCCTGTGGTGCGTGGGTTGGTGGATGCTGGGTTGGTGGGTGCTGCGTGCTGGGTGGGGTGACTGCACACGATTGGCGAGGTGACTATTGAGTCGACTCACGAGTCACCACACTAACACAGCGCACTGCTCCCTGGTTGCTGAGAGTGAAGACCACTCTCACACATCACACCCCTGAGCCCTCAATTTCCCAACCACTGTGTTTCTGCACCCATCCTCACGTCACATCATCACACCCCTGACTCCTCTCTTCCCTAACTTGTCCATCCAAACTGCGTGAATCCACTCTCACATCCCTTCCCCACCCCCACCTGTCTATGTGCCCTGCATACATCCAGCTAACCCAGCAGGCATGGAGGGCCAGGGTAAAGGGGAGGCGGAGGGGGAGTATCTTCTGGTGCAGCTCCGAGGGGGGCTCAACCAGATGCGCGCAGGGGTGAGTGCATGGGTTACTTGCAAGTGGAGCACCGATGGGTAGTTTGCGTGCAGGGGTGAATGTGCGCAGGGGTGAGTGGGCGCAGGGGTGAGTGGGCGCAGGGGTGAGTGGGCGCAGGGGTGAGTGGGCGCAGGGGTGAGTGGGCGCAGGGGTGAGTGGGCGCAGGGGTGAGTGGGCGCAGGGGTGAGTGGGCGCAGGGGTGAGTGGGCGCAGGGGTGAGTGCGTGCAGGGATGAGTGCGTGCAGGGGTGAGTGCGTGCAGGGGTGAGTGCGTGCAGGGGTGAGTGCGTGCAGGGGTGAGTGGGCGTGTTACTTGCAAGTGGAGCATGGACGGGTTTGAGTGCAGGGGTGGGTGCATGCATGGGCTGTTCCAAACCCAAGCACGGATGTTTGAATGGGCTGATAAAAGCAAGGAGAGGTGAATGTTTTGCTTTAGATTCATGGGAGGGTTGAAGGCGGAACCACACTGACGTGGTATGTATGCTCTCGTAAGTACTCCACTGAGGTGACTGCCTCACTATGCTGGTTTGATCTAAGGTTCCCCACTGCCCTCTCTGCTTCCCCCCAATGCCCTCTCTGCTTCCCCCCAATGCCCTCTCTGCTTCCCCCCACTGCCCTCTCTGCTTCCCCCCACTGCCCTCTCTGCTTCCCCCCAATGCCCTCTCTGCTTCCCCCCACTGCCCTCTCTGCTTCCCCCCACTGCCCTCTCTGCTTCCCCCAATGCCCTCTCTGCTTCCCCCCACTGCCCTCTCTGCTTCCCCCCACTGCCCTCTCTGCTTCCCCCCCCTGCCCTCTCTGCTTCCCCCCAATGCCCTCTCTGCTTCCCCCCACTGCCCTCTCTGCTTCCCCCCAATGCCCTCTCTGCTTCCCCCCACTGCCCTCTCTGCTTCCCCCCAATGCCCTCTCTGCTTCCCCCCACTGCCCTCTCTGCTTCCCCCCAATGCCCTCTCTGCTTCCCCCCACTGCCCTCTCTGCTTCTCCCCTACTGCTTCCAATGGCCATTGTTTATCTCCCTACCCCGTCCACCTCCCTGTCGTTCCCCCTCTCTTTCCCCCACCTCCTCCCTCCCTCCCTGGTCCCCATGCAGATCTGCGATGCAGTGGTGGTGGCGAGTCTTCCCCCTCCCCCACTCCCCACCTTCTCCTCCCCCACATCCCCCCTCCTTCCCTGGTCCCCATGCAGATCGGCAACGCCATGGTGGTGGCGAGGATGCAGGCGCCATCCCCCCTTCATCTCCCCACCCCGTCCTACCCCCGTGCCTTCCCCACCCCGCATCCTCGCCTGTATGATGGCAGATTTGCGATGCAGTGGTGGTGGCGAAGATGCTCGGGGCGACCCTGGTGCTGCCGCTGCTTGATAACTCCTCCTGGTGGGCCGACGGCAGGTGAGGCTGATGGCAGGTGAGGCTGATGGCAGGTGAGGCTGATGGCAGGTGAGGCTGATGGCAGGTGAGGCTGATGGCAGGTGAGGCTGATGGCAGGTGAGGCACTTTCTGGGGGGCGATGGCATGATGATAGGTGAGACACTCACTGGCATGTCTGCTGAATAAATCCTCCTGGTGGGGCGACGGCAGGTGAGGCTCTCTTGGGTGCCTGATGGCAGCGTTTGGGGTGGTGGAACCGTGGGGTGGCACTCCTCATGTTCTCTATGTGCTTATTCCCCCGCCTTTTCCCTTATCATACACTCCCACTCCTCCCTTTTCACCCATCCTCATCCCCACCCCTACCTCTTCCATCCTTCTCATCCCCATCCCCCTCCCCCCCCAATCAGCGCCTTTTCCAACGTGTTTGGCGCGCCTCACTTCATCTGCTCCCCCTTTCGTGCCCAGGCGTGTTGTGAGTCAACTCAAAACACTCCTTTCCACCCCCTCACCTCCCCTCACTCCCCCAAGCAGCACATTCTCCGACGTGTTTGACGCACCTCACTTCATCAGCACGCTCGCCCCCTCAGTGCGCGTGGTGCCACGCCTACCTGCCACGCTCACAGACCTGCCCCCTGTCGTGCGCACCGTGCCCAAAGCCTCCTCGCCGGACTATTATCTGAAGCGCGTGCGCCCTCTCATCAGGTGCGTGGCGCAAGTGCCCTTAACTGCCCCTCATCAGGTGGGTGACTGGCTGTTGGCCTCATATCCCCTCAGTGCGTGTGGTCCCACGTCTACCTGCCACGCTCAGAGACTTGCCTCCAGTTGTGCGCACAGTGCCAAAAGCCTCCTCGCCGGACTACCACACCAAGCACGTGCGCCCGCTCATCAGGTGGGTGGGTGGCTGTTAAGTTACCGTGGATGCTGCGCCTCCATGCCACGCTCAGGGACCTGCCTGCAGTCGTGCCCACGGTGCCCAAGGCGCCTCGCTGAAGTGTTCCGTGAAGCATGTGCGCCCACTCATCAGGTGGGTGGCTGGCTGTTAGATTGCCTCAAATCCCTTGGGTGAGGGTGGTGCCACACCTGCCCACTGCACTCTAAGGACCTGCCCACTGCACTCTAAGGACCTGCCCACTGCACTCTAAGGACCTGCCTCCACTGTCCCCAACCAAAGCCTCCTCGCCGGACTACCACACCAAGCACGTGCGCCCACTCATCAGGTGGGTGGGCGGCCGTTGGGTTGCCTCGATTCCTTTCATTGCGCGTGGTGCCACGCCTACCTGCCACGCTCAGTGACCTGCCCCCTGACGTGCGCACCGTGCCCAAAGCCTCCTCGCTGGACTACTACACCAAGCACGTGCGACCGCTTATCAGGTGGGTGGGGGGCTGCTGGGCTGCCTCAAGTGCCTGCTGTACGACTGGTATCCCACCTTCCCTCTGTTAACCTGCCCCCCCTGTGCGCACGGTGCCCAAAGCCTTCTCTCCTCGCCAGACTTCTACCTGACGCACGTACGTCCGCTAATCAAATGGGTTGAGGGCTACTGGGTCCGGTGATTTCCGTTCATTATTCTCCTTTCATTGACTCTTCCCATCCCTTTTAATGCATTGCTCATACTTGGCCCATTACTTGCCTCCCCTCCCCCTCCCTGTCCCACTCTCCCCTTCTCTCCCTACCCTATTCTTCTTCCCCCAACCCCCCACCTTCTACCCCTGCACGGTCACATTACAGGAGGGCGCAGGTGCTGAAGCTGAACCACTTCAAGTTCAAGCTCAACTATAGCCTCCCTGCACCCCTGCAGAAAGTATGTGGTGCAAACAGGGTACTCACAGGCACTCACAACCCGCAAGGCACGAAACACATTTCAAGTTCAACCTCAACTATAGCCTCCCTGCTCCCCTGGAGAAGGTATCTAGCATAGCAGCTCACCCACCCTCACAAGCCGCAAGGCACATGGCGTTCGGAGTTCCTTTGACTTCACACAGTACCACACTTACGCACTGCCTGTGCTGTCAACTTTCACACTTCCGTTCCTAGACTCAAAAGGGTCTCGTCTCTAAGGGGTTCCTGTAAATCACGGATCTCCTGCCCCTTCAGAATCCTCTCGTGCCACACAGTGTCTCCTCTCGGATGTCCTCTTCAGCCGCCCAGAGTTGCTGCACTGCTGGGAAAACGACAAGGCGCTTTTGATTCAACTAAGAAGCTATCTCTCTCCCCCATCGGATGCCATGCCTCGTCTCCTCTGCCCTATCTCTACCGTCCTAGCTTCCTTCCCCACCAACCAGCATAACTACGAGGTGCTGAGCTCTGTGCCGGCAGTTACTCGAGCCCTCCCCTCTTTCCCCTCCCCCTTTACAAAATCCCCCTTCTCCCTCTGCCATCCTCTCCCTTCTCACACATCAGCTTCGCTGTAAAGCCAACTACGAGGCACTTCGCTTTGTACCAGCAGTCACTCAAGCCGTAGCCCGCCTCACCCTCGCCCTCACCCACCCCTCCCCCCTTGCCGCCTCCGCTTCCATTTCCCCTGGCTCTCCTGCTGCTGCTCCTGCTACTGCTTCATCTCCTGCGTCTGCTGCTGATTATGCTGGTGCCGCTGGTTCTGCTGGTCCTGCTGGTCCTGCTGCTGCTGTGGCAAGTTGTGTTGGTGAAGGGGCAGGGCATGGGCTACAAGTGAAGAAAGAGCAGAGAGATGAGAGGGACGTGGGGATGCAGGCGGAGGGGAGTGGCGAGGCAGTCAAGTATGTGGCGCTGCATTTAAGGTGAGATGGGGCAGAGGGGACAGATGGGCCAGAGGGGACAGAGGGAGGCAGTAGGGGGAGTGCAGGCGGAGGGGAGTGGCGAGGCAGTCAAGTATGTGGCGCTGCATTTAAGGTGAGATGGGGTGGAGGTGAAATGAGGATGCTAATGCTTGTAATTCTTGCCTTCCACGTACATCATAATCATTAAATGCTGTGCCACCTTGCTTGATTCACATATACACCACGACTCCCTTTCGATGCATTCATCTCTCTGTATGGGATCCCGTGCACTCTCCTCTCTACCATGTGTCGCCCTCTTTTCTCATGCCATATCATGCATGGCCCGCCTGCGATGCAACCGCCACGTGCAATGCAAGGGCAGGTACGAGCCTGACATGCTGGCATTCACCCCATGCTCATTCCATCCCATCCCATCCCATCCCATCCCATCCCATCCCATGCACTAACTACCCACCATCCGCCCGCCACATCCCTGCCTTGCAGGTACGAGCCTGACATGCTCGCATTCACTGGGTGTGACTATGGCGGAGGCGGGAAGGAGAGGAGGCTGTTTGAGGGGATCAGAAAGAGGTGGCCGGAGCTGCCCCGACAGGACCCCAAGCAGCAGAGGGCCAAGGGCAAGTGCCTCGTCACTCCCTCGCAGGTGTGTTTTGAGTTGAATTAAAAGATAGGCGAGAGGAGGCTTTTTGACTGAGGGGATCAGGAGGAGGTGGCTGGAGCTCCCCCGACAGAACGTCAAGCAGCAGACGGCCAAGGGCAAGTGAATTGTCACTCCCTCGCAGCCAAGTGCCTCGTCCCTCCCTTCCAGCCAAGTGTATAGACCATCCAGGCCAGGCAGTGTCAAAATAATATCCCCCCCAACCTGCCTGCCCCTCCTCGTTCCCCAGGTGGCAGTGGCCCTACAAACGTTAGGCTTCCCGCCATCCACGCACCTCTACATCGCATCAGGCGAGCTGCACGGGGGGCCCTCCGCCCTGCGCCCTTTGCTCAAGGCCTTCCCCCTTGCCACCGACAAATACTCCCTCGCTCGTTCCCTCGCTCCTGCTGGGGGGAAGGAGGGCAGGGTGGCCGACAGGGATGGGTTAAGAAGGGAAGTGGGAGAGAGTGGAGCAGCAGAGAGTGTAGCGGCGGAGTGGAGAAGGGAGGGCGATGGGGGAGGGGGAGTGGGGCGAGGGGTAATGGAGGGGCTGCAAGGGAGGAAGACACTCCTAGCGGCGGTGGATTATGAGATGTGCCGGCGAGGGCACATGCTGGTGCTCAATAACAATGGCAACATGGCTCATCTGCTTGCTGGGCATAGAAGGTGCGGATTCGTATGGGTGCTGAGGGGTTGGGACAGGTGGGAAATGAGGGGGGTGGGAGATGTGGGCACATGCTGGTGCTCAACAACAATGGCAACATGGCTCACCTGCTCGCCGGGCACAGAAGGTGCGGTTTAGAGTGGTGGGCTACGGTTTATAGAGGGTGAGAGGAGGGGGCAGGCATATGCTGGTGCTCAACAACAATGGCAACATGGCTCACCTGCTCGCGGGGCACAGAAGGCGTGGTTTGGAACAGTGGGCAATGGTGTTGAGCAGTTGGGATGGGTGGGGTGGGTAATGGAGTTGAGGGAGGCGGGGGCAGATGCTGGTGCTCAACAGAAAGCCCATCGGTTGGCTGCGAGCACCACATGTTTGCCTCATCAGAAACACCCCCGCCCATTCAATCGCCCTCCTCAACCCCCATATCTCCACCTTAACATCAGGTATGACGGCATGGTTAGCACGGTGCAGCTGTTTGGCTCCTCCATCCTGCGCCTCCTCGCTGCCATCCAGCAAGGCGATGTGAAGAGCTCTCCTATATCCGTGTCCTTCTAATATCCAGTCCAACACCCATCTCCCAATTCCCACCCTCCAGGTACGACGGGGTGGGAAACACGGTGCAGCTGTTTGGCTCCTCCATCCTCCGCCTCCTCACAGCCATCCAGCAAGGCGATGCCAAGAGCGCTCACAAGCTGCGCAACCAGACGCTCAGGGGAGACGGCAGCAATGGGAAGGCCGCAGTAAGAGGAAGCTTCTATTCGTTTCCCCGGGAGTGCTTGTGTGAGAGATCGGATCATGTGTCTTCGGGCATTTATTCATAAACCCACGAGGCTTTGCTCACATGAAGCTCAGAGCAAAGGAGAATGGTGTGTCGGCACCACGGGCTGGCAAAATGTGGATGTTTCATATAAGAACAGAGTTTTCTGTTCAGTCCGTTACCAACCAGCGTGGCCCTTTTGGTATTCATTCATGAGGCCCTGCTCGCGGTGCTCAGAGGGGTGGTGCCAAGTCAGAATGGCTGGTCAGATGTAGCTGTGTATTATAAGATCAAAGCCCTTCTGTTGCTGCAGCCAAACGTCATGGTTCCTTGTAGAAGTATGTGAGACCAACTGGTCAGAAACCGTGTACCATATCGCCCGGGATAGTACCGCCGTCCTATTTAAATCGCCGGCGCTTCTATCAAGAGCCATGCGCTTATGGCCGGTCCTCAATGATAAGCGCAACACCTGTAAAACCTTGATTTATTATAAGCGCATGTGTATTTTCATTTTTCAATCTTGATTAAAAAAGTAACGAAATACAATTTCGCAGCAAGTCAACACCCTTTTTCATCTTGTTTGACTCTGGAGGGCCTCACTGGTTGCGCGTCCATTCAAGATGAGCTGGCACGCCCACACAATTGTCTGAAATGCTAGGCAGGAATGAATGAACTAGGAAAGTGCTGGGAACAAGAATGAAACCCTAAAAGGGGCTGTACCCATGTTGGCTACCCCACTACAGCCTAAACATGTATATAGCATACATATAATTTGACACACCCCCATAGGCAAAGTGGGGGAGAGCAAGGGGTCACAAGACCAGTCAAGAGAAGCAAAGCAAGCTCAGGGTGGATCACAACGTCACCACACACACTGAGCACAAGCAAAGGGCCACAAGGCCAGTTCACATGCAGAGGTATATATGCAACAACCACAGCACAGTGATCTCTACCTAGCAGAGCAAGCATGCAGGTATATATATAGATCACAGTACAAGCAAAGTCTACAGCAAGAGCGGAAACGTGGGCACAAGGCCTAACAAAGTACAAAAACGCTGATGATCACCAGACGGAAGTGCCTTGGTGAATATATCAGCAGTGTTGGTCCGAGTGGCCACGTGAGCAAGACGAAGCTGACCACGCTGCTGCAACTCTCGAGCAAGGAAGTAACGCAGAGCGATGTGCTTCGTTCTGTGCTCCAGTCTGTGCTCCTGACACAAGGAAATGGCGGCCTTGTTGTCTACGTACAGAACTGGAGGAGAACGAGGCCGCTCTCCCAGGTCGGTCAGCAGGTAGGTGAGCCGGCGTAACTCCTGTGCATCCGTGGCTATGGCGTAGATCTCAGCCTCACAACTGGAGCTGAGAACAGAAGACGAGCGTGTAGACTGCCAAGAAACAGAGCCAGAGCCAAGACTGAAGGTGTAACCGTGTGACGATCGCTACGTAGCCACGTCGTCAACCCAAGAAGCGTCCGAGTGCCCAGTGAGGACAACGTCGCCCCGTCCTCCAAGCACGACATGCCCGATGTACTGCACAAGTAGCGCAATACCCTCTTAGCAGCATCCATGTGCACCTTTCGGTGCGTACGAGGAGCCACGTAGCGAGCCATAAGGCCAAGAGGGTACGCAAGGTCAGGACGAGTGCAGGTCATCAGGTACATGAGGCAGCCCACTAGCTCTGGGTAAGGACCACTCGGCTCTATAGACTCGTCCGAAGGTGGAGCTGAGAGCGAGTGACCTATAGCCAGAGGAGTGGCGTGTGCCGAGGACCAGGTGAAGCCGAAGCGCTGAAGGACCTGCTGCACCATGTGTGACTGAGTTAGTGTGATGTTGCGCCGTGCTCTGTCCCGGGTGATCTGCAAGCCAAGGTAATTGCGTAGCTCACCCAGGTCTGTGCACGTGTGTCTCTTCTGCAGCTCCGACTTCACCAGGGCGAGAGCCTCAGTGTCAGCAGTGGCAAAGACCAAGTCGTCGACGTACACGAGGATGTAGAACGGTGGCAGCGAAGTGTCGGTGCGCAGAAACAGCGACGGGTCAGCAGTGGAAAGAGCGAACCCAAGAGCCACAAGTGTCGTCCTTAGTGTGTCGTGCCACTCACGCGGCGCCTGGCAGAGACCGTAGACTGGCCGCCGGAGGCTCCACTTGGTACCAGGAGGGAACGACCCAGTGAAGCCAGGTGGGCGGCGCAGCCAGATCTCCTCGTGCAGGCTGCCCTGTAAGAAAGCTGTCCTGAAGTCAAGAGAGTGAAACTCGTAGTCACGCTGAGCGGCAACGTGCAGCAGCACCCGAAGAGTGGTCATCTTTGAGGTGGGGGAGAAGGTCTGGAAGAAGTCAACTCCTTCTCGCTGACTGAAACCTCGAGCAACGTAACGAGCCTTGAAGACAGGCGGAGAACCTGGCGGTCGCTTCACCCTGAAAATCCACATGCCATCAACGATGTTCGCCCCAGGAGGGGGAACCTCATCAACGTAAGTGCCTGTGGACTTTCAGGATGCCATCTCTGCGTCCATGGCTGTCTGCCACTGAGAGGAGTACTCACCCGCGATCGCCTCAGCGTAAGAGCGCGAGGTCGGGATGTCTGGAGCATCCGGGTCTCCCTCAGGGGCAAGCAACATGGCCATGAGATGAGGCGCAGCGACTGCAAGACACTCAAGGTCCTCCTGCCTGTCCCCAAGGACGTCCGGGCTAAGAGCACACTCACCCCCGACGGACGGAGGACAGAAAGACTCAGATTCAGCAACAAGACTAGCAACGTAGTCTATACGACAGGCAGCAGCAAAGTCAACAAGCTCAGCAACTAAGGCAGACGCAGCAGCAGACTCAAACGACGGGTCAGTGACAACAGTTGCTAGCAGACGCGTGACAGTAGGGTGAGCAGCATGAGCGCGGTCAGAGCCAGGCTCTGGAACGTCAGGCAGAGAAGACGCAGGAGGGGACGGCAGGGGAACACGCTACGGAGAAGAGGAAGGACGCAGGGCCATGAGGTGTGTGCCGGGGACAGCCGGCGGACGCTCACGAGGAACACGACGACCAATACGACCAGGGCGGACGGTGCGAACAGGCGAGACAGGACGAGACGCAGGCTCACGACGCTCAGTAAGACCTCCTGTCTGCTCAGTGTAAGGAGAAGGAGCAGGCAGCAGTGAGCCAGGCTGTTACGGAAGACCAGTAGAAGACGGGAGGCTAAGAACCTGGCGAAGCACGGAGTCAGGGGGTGGCAGAGACGAAGGCGACGGCGGAGCGAAGAACAGTCGCGGCCGGGCAGCGTCACCAGCACCATACCTCCAGCACCTCCAGCACCAGCACCTCCAGCGCCAGCACCTCCAGTACCAGCACCTCCAGCAGCTCCAGAACCTCCAGCTCCAGCGCCTCCAGCGCAGCACCTCCAACAGATCCAGGACCTCTAGTAGCTCCAGAACCTCCAGTGCCAGCACCTCCAGGACCAGCACCTCCAGCTCCAGCGCCTCCAGCTCCAGCACCTCCAACAGCTCCACGACCTCCAGTAGCTCCAGAACCTCCAGCGCCAGCACCTCCAGTACCAGCACCTCCAGCAGCTCAAGAACCTCCAGCTCCAACGCCTCCAGCGCCAGTACCTCCAACAGCTCCAGGACCTCCAGTCGCTCCAGAACCTCCAGCGCCAGTACCTCCAGACTTAGCAGAACCACCAGCCCCAGCAGCTCCAGTACCTCCAGTACGAGCACCTCCGGGACCAGCAGCTCCAGTAACACCAGTAGAAGCGCCTCCAGTAGCTAAGTCACCAGCTCCAGTGCCTCCAGCGCCAACGCCGGTCGCAGCAGGGCCCCCAGCTCCAGAAGTGCGACCCTGACGGCTAACGTACCACTCACGCAGCTGCTGTGGGGAGAGAGGGAGACGCCGACGAGAGATCTGCGGCGAGGCCCCAGCTGAGCGACTACGGAGGTGGCCGCTCCAAGGAGACTCCACACCAGGCGCCTCAGTGCCCCCAGGCCGTACCCCCAGACTCAGTACCCCCAGGCGCAGCACCCCCAGACTCCGCACCCTCAGGCTCAGCACCCCCAGGCTCCTCACGCTCACGCTCAGCACCTCCAGGCTCCACACCCCCAGGCGCAGCAACCCCAGGCTCCACACCCCCAGGCTCAGCACCCCCAGTCGCCACACCCCCAGGCTCAGCACCCCCAGAAGCAGCACCCCAAGCAGGACCACCCCCAGCAGGACCTGAGTCACCAGTGACCTCAACCGGCTCAGGCAAGGGAGGAGGGTCTACCTGAGACACACCTGAAGGAGCAGGACCTGGAGCGGGGAGGGGGTCTACCTGGGGAGGACCTGGAGCGAGAAAGAGCGATGGGGGGGGGGGAGAGGCAGTGCGGTAGGGAAAGAGACGGTAAAAGGTGACCGACTCGTCAAAGGTGACGTCCTGAGATGCAAAGACTCGGCGCGAGGCGGGGTCGTAAAACTGCCAGCCAGGCGCGACAGGGACAAAGCCAAGGAAGACGCAGGGAATGGCGCGAGGGGAGAGCTTGTCCACAGTGGTATCGCAGACAAAGGCACGAGCACCCCAGACACGGAAACGCGATGCATCGCCAACCTCCCCCGCCCAACGCAGTGTGGGCGAAGTCTCCGGCACGGAGACACGGGGCCAGAGGTTGAGCTGATGCGCGGCGTACCGGACTGCAAACGGCCACAGAAAATGGGGGGCAACCGCATGGATCATGGAGGTACGAGCGACCTCCATGACTAAGCCAATGCGGCGCTCAGCAACCCCATTCTGCTGCGGAGAGGCCGGAAGCGTGAACGTCTGGCGGATGCCGTGCTCCTCACAG